AAAAAAAAAAAAAGAAATTACTGAAGCTTGAAACTATATCAAGACTTTTTCAAAAACTAACATTTAGATTTATTCTTTCTACCATTTGTTTGGTTTTTGGTTTCAATTTCATTAATTTCAGCTTTTATCTTTAGTAATTCCTTCTTTAGTTTCTTCTGATTTATTTTGTTCTTTTTCTAAACATATGATACATTTTAAATTTTAAAAAATAAAGCTAGTTTAAAAAGAAGATATGATTTCTATTCCAACAATATGGCAGACTAGATACCCTGGACTCACCAGAAACAACTAAAAGTGTTGGATAACGTATCTTTTAAAATATATTAATGAGCTGACCAGAAAGTATGCATAAACGGTCAATAAATGTATTAAAAGATGCCTGACCTCAGTAGTAGTCAGAGAAATGCAAATTAAAGCCATAAGAAGATTGCCCTTCCCACATACCACCACATAGACAAAAGCTTAAAATATTCTGAAAATGCCACATATTGCCAAGGATGTAGAATGCGCACTCTATGCTCTACTGGTAGGAGTGAATCAGCACAACTGCTTTAGAACACAATTTGGCATCATTTAATAAAGTTGAAATTGCTCATATGTACCCTCTGACTCAGCAATTCCAATCAAGATACACACCTGAAAGAAACTGCTGTCATGTGCACGAGAGGATATAAACAAGGAAGTTCATAACCACATTGTTTGTACAGCAGATAATGAAAATGTCCGTTATCAATAAAATGGGTAAAAAAATTATATATTCAGGCAATAAATAGAGTGGTGAAAATAATGAACCATCTGCACACAGTACCACACGGTAACATGGCTGACACTCATGAACATCATGCTAAGCAAGAAAAACAAGTCAAAGAAGAATTATTCAATTTACATACAGTTAAAAATTCCATTTCTATAGAGTTCAAAAATATGCAAAACCAAACAATGTACTGTTTGGAAATGCAAATCTATGTGATAAAACCATAAGAAAACAAGGCGGTGACAAACAGAATTTTGGAATAACAGTTATCTAGGAAGTGGCAAGAAGAGGATGAGATGTGGAGGGTGCATGAGAACTTCAAAGGACGACATTCTGTCTCATACTGGGTGGTGAGTGCGTGGCTATTTACTGTATTGCTATTCTTATATTGTATACGTATTATTGGGTTGTTGGAAAAGTCATGATGCATTTTTGCAACGAAAAACAGAAAAAATGCATCATGACTTTTCCAACAACCCAATATGTATATATTTAACACAAATTTCAAAACTTTAAAGGAACTATGGCTTCACATATTTGGAATATTAATGTACCTGAACAGCATATTTACCATTAATGACAGGTAAAGAAATTTTATTATTTTTCCACCAGCTATCACCAGAGTTTACTTATGGCTTAGAAGTTTATCCTCAATCTAAAAGCAAGTCACTTGGTATATCTCTTTAAGAGGTTTTGTTTTATTTATATCTTAGACATACTTTTTGTATGTATGAAACACAGGATAATAATAAAGAAAAAAATATTTTAAAGGATTATGCTGCAAAAGGAAAAGATCTAATGGGATAATATACATTATTTTACTCCATATAAAATAAAGTACCCAATATATTTTGTTGAAAAGAATAAAGTTAAAACTGTAGATTAATTTGTTTTTTTTCAATGATCTCTAAAATACCTATCTGTGCTAGAAAATTTAAATGTCCTATCATCTCATATTTGCTGTGTCTGCTCTAAAGTATGTCACATGAGGAAAATCCTGAGTATCTTGTTCACTATTATGCCCCAGCATAGGGTCTAAATTGGCCAAACAATATTCACCAAATTAATTGTTTAGAAGATTATTTCCAAGACAAAGATTCTACAAGAAATTGTTTCATGAGTAATATTATTTACCAGAGAAAAATACTTCGACCAACCTGTAACAGCAGCAGTTTTTCTTCTAGATTTTCTGCCTTTTTTTTCCATTCAGCTATTAGCTGTTTGTTCTTTCCTAGTTCAGCTGAATACATAGCTTTTTCCTCTAAAGAGGACAAAAAAGTTACATTTGTATTTTGCAATTGTGTAATAAAATTAGAGTTTTAAACCACTTGAAATTTTAATAATTTAACAAAAACAGTTCAAATGTCTCAAGAAGAAAATTATATATGCCTTAGTGATAATATTAACTGGAATTAAAGTGATGAGATCAGTTTCCTCTGCCTAAATTCTTCTCCATCTTGCAAACTCTTCCTTCTCTCGGAACTTCACTCAAGTATTTCCTCTTCGGCAAAGCTTCCCCTATGGCCTCAGTACCATACTACTTGGCACACATCCACTCTAGTATTATATGGAGTAATCTTATATTTAAAATTCAAGATTTCAAGCAGGAGTAACCCTGAAGGTCTACATATGTACAAATTTAAAGCTTAGCTTAGATATAAAACTATAACCCCTGTTGCTTTATTAGCCTCATATCCCCTAATTCCCCACCCGCCCCCACTAGCAGTTAATTCATTGCCAATAATTACTGAATGTATGAATAAACAAATGGATGCGTGAATGCTCTAAAGGGGGTAAATGTGAGGATGGAAGGTAGAAGTGAGAAAGCATATTCAGTTATGAGAGTTAAACTGCTCTGGCCACTGTTATTGTGTCTCCAGAAAAGTATTTTCCACCTGGATTAGAAAATGTATTTACCTTGAAGTATAGATGAAGAACTAAGAATAAATTCATCGATATTTCAAAGGACAGCAGTTACTGGTGATTAACTCTTCGAAGTGGGTTCAACCTCCAACGAATATCTCAAAACCCAAGCATCTTCTCTACATGTGCCTCTCTCTTCCTTTGTACCCCCCTCTTTATCACAAGATCTTCCTTTCTATGTAGCCCTTATATTTCCCCAACACTCACCTTAACTTGTCATAATACTAAACAAATCTTTAATAATAGTGACTTTATATATAGTTTATGTTCTCTAGTCTGAATTGTAAAAGCAGTTGAAATTAACTCGTTGATGGCTACTTATCTTTTCCCCCTACAAGTGGGTAACCTTTCAAAGATATGCCATGCCCAATCTAAAATAGCACTCAAATAAGCCAAAATTCCCAATAACTACAATACTTTTTCTTCACTGAAAGACTGACAATACAACTCACCTTGTTGGAAATGCTCTAGTACCATCTGCAGGTTGGAGAGTGAGAGAGCATACTGCTTTACTTGTTCTTGGGACATAGAAAGTTGCAGGGTAGTTTCATCTCTTTGCTTGGAGACTATGTTCAATTGTTCCTGCAATGATTCTACCTGCAAACTGGCTTGATGGCTTCAAACAAAACGAATGAAAGTCAAACTGTTTCTATTTAGGGACTTTAACAAGATGAAACATCTTCCCTACATTTTACTCCATTAAATGCAAATTAGATTTCAAAGTATTTAGATAACTTTAAGAAGATGGAAGCCTCTTCCCTGCTTTTTTTAAAATTGTGGTAAAATAGACATAAAATGGTTAAAATTTGCCATTTTAACCATTCTTAAATGTAGAGTTCAGTGGCACTAGGTGCATTCACAATGTTGTATAACTACTACCACCATCCATCTGCAGAACTCTTTTCATTTTCCCAAGCTGAAACTCCAGTCATTAAACAATAAGTCTCCTTTCCTGCAGCAACCATAATTCTACTTTTTGTCTCTATGAATTTGACCTTCCCTACATTTTACAGCATTAAATTCAAGACAGGTTTCACAGAAACCTGAAGAGTACCTCTAATCTTTGTTCTCAATTTTTGTTAATTTAACCATCCTTCCTGTCAATGTGACTCTGAATAAACAGCAGTCATTTTAAAGACAGAATTGGGCTAAACAAGAAATGTCACAGTAAGAAAAATTTACAAATAGCTTGCAACCTTTGTGTTTCCAGGATAAAACTCTAAGATGTACTTTATCATAAAATTGTAACTTGTAAGGGACCTTGGAGGTCATTTTGTCCAACTTCCAACCCAACAAACAATGAATTCTATGGCAGCCCCTTACTTTTAACAGTTGCAACCACAGTGAAGTCACAACTTCCCTAAGGTTAGAGCACTGATTAACTGCTCTGATTACTAGGCAACTATCTTTTACTATCATCCTGCTGCTTACATGAAATAACACCTACGCCTGCCCCAAATAATAAATCAGAGTTCCCTCAGAGATTCATACAGCACCTATCCAGGCTAATGCGACTGATGTACTTCCTTAATATATAAGTATTACATACAATATATTGCAATAACCATTCCTGGGTTTTTAATAACCAGTTAAATTCTTATTCAAGAGCAGTTGATCAAAGCTTATTGAGAGCAGCTAACTTTTTGAAGAAACTTTACCCAACAGTACCCTCTTGTGGAAAAAGAAGTAAATTGGTAATCAGGAGACGACTGCCCTCAAATGTCCCTGGGTTTTATTCAACTTTACTGATTAGCAAATCACTCAAAGGGTGATCCTAAGGATGAAACAAGCTGTGATGTCACTCAAAAAGTGAGTCAATTACCAGGCGTGACTGTTGTTAAATAAGGGCTCAATACACCATAATCTGGTTTGTAGATTTATTTATGTAACTAATATTTACTAAAGATCTATCAACTATGTGCAAGAATATGTTTGTGGGAAGAGTACAAAATAAATGCCATCGTTCCTACCCTCAGTGACCTTACATTCTGTGGGTAGGAGAAGGTGCGATCAACAATTACCTGTACCCTAAAGTAAAATACAAATGCCCTATGAAAGACTCAAAATATCATGCAGGTTCAAAGGAAAAAAACATCACACCAGTGTCTGGTTTTCCATTTGAGGAGTGGGGTGCTAAATAAAGCATTCTTTATGAAGGAAATGTTTCTATTCAAAGAAAACAAATTCTTCTATTTGAAGAATAGGTGGGATTACTAGAAAAACTGTTAGGGATCAGGCCCCCTTTCAGGTAGAAGAAAGAATATGAAATGAAAAAGTAGAAGAAATAGAAAACAGTAGCTGTATCTGAAGAAGTGTAATACCGTTTGGTTGGATATAGATGACGGTGACAAGTAGGGCTAAGGTGGTAGACAGCCCAGGACTGAATCATGGGAGTCTGCCCTGGTTTTGAGAAAAGGAGCAACAAGATCACAGCTCTACTTAATGAAGGTTATTCTGGCAATTATTATGAAAGGTAAATGAAAGTGGGCAGAGACTCAAAACTGTTTTAATTAGAGAAAATAAGGGCTTGAAATCGAAAGGAAAGATGATCAATTTTATAGTCTGAGGGTGTTTTGGCATTTCTGCCAATGTGAAACACAATGACCATTCATTGTTTTCATTCTCATTTTAAACAAGTTTTCCTTCAGAGAATGGAGGCATAATCATATACTCTACAAAGTGACGGAGGAGTTCACCCTCACAAGTATTGATTGTCTCTACTGATCCATAACCTCTTTGCAAACAGATATAATATCTACTATCTCCTTATATCTCCCCTCAGCATCATACGTAGTAAAAAGATAAATAACAAAATGCATATACCACCAATGGCAATATAAATGGGCATGAGTCTTCTGGAAGATTATCTGACAGTACATTTCAAAAGTGTTAAAAATGCCCTTTGAACCAGAACTTTCATTTCTAAAACTTTACACTAAGGAAATAATCTGTAATAAACAGAAAAATACCTATCTTGAGATATCATGACATCACTCTTAGTAATTTTGAAAAGTTGAAACACTCTACATGTTCAATAATAAATGACTGAATTAAAAAATTATGGCAATCCAAATAATAGTATCCTATGTAGCCATAGAATGTTACCATAGAAACATATGGCTTAGCATGTACTATACTCATAAGTTGATAGGAGCAGTTACAAAACAGTATGAATAGTATGATCTCTATTTTGTGTATATGTACACACATATATAATATGTACACACATATATAGAAGCATATAAAGACACACAAGAGGACTATTTCTGGGTTTATGGAACGGTGGCTTTATGTCCTTTTTGGCTTATGTGATTTTCCTGAAGAGGAAAATAAAAAGTTTTATAGTAAGGAAAAAAAAGAAAAACAAGAAAAGACATTTTACTGAGAGAAATAAAATGTTTAAATATATAAGCAGGGAACTGTTTACTCAAAGGTTTTAATAACCCAAGCGTTAATTCATTCTGACCTAGGTCTCTACCTTGCTACTTCCTTTATTCTCGCCCTTCTTATAGTCAGACCTTGTTCAACCTTAGATCGTTTGATTAAAAATAGTCATATCAATTAAATTAGTTCTGTTGGGAACCTGAAAAGGCTAATTAAATCAGTCAGGATTTAAGTCTAAACCCCTAAGGTGACGAGAGGCAATTATCTAGGGCAGGGGTGTCAAACTCAATGAAAACAAGGGCCATTTGGTGCAACAGGCAAGATTCACGCGGGCCACATCACATTTACAAATTTTGTTAAATTTATATTCTGAAGTGAGGATTCAGGACTATGGATAATTAAAACACTATATAATTGCTTTTATTTAAACATTTATTTTATTTAATGTATTTATAAAACTAAAATTATTCTTTTTTACCCGAGTGCTCTTTTTAACCTTTTCTCTATTGGGATCTGTTTACATTACGTGACACTGAGAGTGGCAGACATATCGCTTCCAAACGTCGCCGGAACTGAGTCAGTGCGTTTATACATGCCCACAGGTCCCCAGGAAAGGCACGGGGCCACGTGTATACTCAGGGTTAACGAGGGAATTGTGTATATGGTATTGCCTCGATCTCCCCTAAGCTCTATTTTCTTCATAACAATTTTTTCTATTTTCATTTTATTTGAGAGCATCGTGGGCCACAAAAAATTACCTCGAGGGCCACATGTGGCCCGCAGGCCGCCAGTTTGACACCCCTGATCTAGGGTAATGGTTAAGATTCAGAAAACCTTCAGTTTGAATGCCACGTCTGGTTAAGAGTTACAGACCTGAGTAAGAAACCCACACACTCTCTGTGTGCCTGACCTCAGGAAGGTTACTAAACCTCTTTACCCTAAGTTTCTTCATCTGTAAATGGAGATAATACATTTTGTGAGAATAAAATGAGATAACATGAAAAATGCCTACTGAGTCTTACACTCAAGGAGTGCTCGGTTAATATTAATGCTAAAAAAGTGAGAAAGTTACCTTGCATTTTCCATTGCATTAGAGGATGAAACTAGCTTTTCCTCCAATACTGTGACTCTCTTTCTTAGTTTAGCCTCTCTATCTTCTGCAGCCAAAACTTCTCGGGTATAAGAATCTTCTGTTTCTAAAAGATGGTTACGCAATCTCTCTAGCTCCTGGTTTAAGCGTAATTCTTTGTCACGTAAATGTTGAACCTAGATAGAGGACATTTCTTTATTTTTCTTCTATAAAATGCTCCCTCAATGCCACCCAACCCAACCCCACAAGCCACCTGTTATTAAATTTTCCCTCATTATTGAAGTGAATCAATTGTATACTAATTTCTCATACTGTAAGATGTATTTATGCTCGGAAAAGTCTCCTGAAATCATCCTGAATATTCATTGGGAAGGTTTACTTTGTAAGATCTCATTCCCTGTGGCTATAATGGAAAATGGAATTATACAAAGTACTAGGCTTTTTGTGACAGACCACTTTTCAGTAAATCTCATTTTTTCCATATTTTATGGGTGGGAAATTTTTCTTATATCCAAAACATGCCCTGGTTTTCACTTCTTTTTTTTTTCCCATTAAAAAAAATTAAGGTACAATTTAGTTTCAGGTGTACAACCTAATGATTTGATCATGGTTTTCACTTTTGAAAACTGAAATAAAATGCACTCTGGGAGATGAAAATCCTACTATAGCACATCAGAAGAAGACTAAGAAAACATCACCTAAGAAAGAAATTCATTTTAAATGGTAATCGTTACAGTTTTCTTACTTAATAGTTACCAAACTTAGCGCCTGAATCACTGTTTCTTTAAAGTGAAAGTATACCTCATTCTGTACAGCAGCATTTTCCATTTGTTTCTGTTTCAGGGCCAACATGACTTGATCTCTCTCCTTCTGAAACGTAACCGTCTTCTCCTGCAGTGACTTCACTGCATTTAAAAGCTGATTCAACTCCCCAGTCTTGCCCTTTTGGAAAGAAATAACTTTAGCTTTAAAGAAAAATGCATTAAAAGAAGACAATTCATTATCAATTAATTTCAAAATAGAACCATGTCAAGGTCATCAAAAAAGTAGTCTGAGAAACTGTCACAGTCTAAAGGAGCCTAAGAATACATAACGGCTAAATATACTGTGGTATCTTGGATGGCGCCCTAAAACAGGCAAAGGACATTTGGCAAAAAATTAAGGAAATTCAAATGAAGTATGAAGTTTAGTTAATAGTAACATATCAGTATTGGTTCATTAATTGTGACAAATGTGCCATAATAGTGTCAGGTGTTAAAAATAAGGGAAACTGGGTGTAAAGTATATGGGAACTCTACTATCTTTGCAACTTTTCTAATCTAAAACTGTTCTTAAAAAGTTTATTAGAAATGTTTTAAAAAGAACTCAGAAGACACAATCTCTTCAAATTTACCCTACACAATAGTGACCACAAACCCCAAAATCACTCAAAAAAGTGTGTGTGTGTCCCCCCATTCATCAGGCATACACAATTGTTATTAGAGAAAGGAACAACATCAAGATGCTAGCAGAGGAGAGAAAGGGAAATCTTTCACATGCACAGTCTATTTTCAAGGAACATTTTGGCAGCAATTAGCAAAGGGAAGCAACTCTGGAATGATTATCTTGCTAGATGGTTGTGAAAATTTATTCCTGAATGCATTCCATACAAGTATAATATATTAAGGACAACAGAAAAAAAAGGTAACCCTTCATTGCAAAAATAGGGCCAGGAATTTAAGATGATAGCTTGAATTCTAAAAAGCACAAAAAAGTGACAGACTATTTACAGCCAATGCTTTTCTTGGTTTTAAATATGCATATCATATGAATCTATTTATAGGTAGGTGTTATTTTAAATTTTCATGGAAAGTTTCTTTTTCTTTAAGAATATATGTGTCCCTCAAGATAAATGATCTAAACCAAAACATAAAACCATCTGTTCCTTTATCTCACCACCTCCTCAGGCATAGCGAGGCCAATATTCTCCAAGTAGCTTTTCAGATAAAATTTTTTTCGTATTACAGAGAAAGAATAAATGCTTGAAAATTAAATAGAATTGAAGATCTCCTGTTGAGAGCATCCCTTTCCTCCTAAAGAGATGTTATTATACTCAAAATAGAATAAAGGTACTCTCCAATTATATAGAGCAGGGGTCAGTAAGCTTTTGAGACAGAAGAGCAGCCAGGGGTCAGCAAACTGTGGCTTACTGAAGTAAAATTGAAAATGAAAATAAAACTATCATAGTTTTATTTATAAAATTTTTAAAGGATATTATTCACATAATGATGATTATGTTTATGGCTCTCGAATCATTTTTAAATTGTTGTGAGGGGCAGGATTGGCTCTTTCAGGGGTCAGCAAACTTTTGAGATGGAACGTACCCAAAGAGCCGCATGTGGCTCACGAGCCGCAGTTTGCCGACCCCTGATATAGAGTATTGGAAGAAATTGATTCGTTTATGCTAATTACCCTCAAATATGACTTAACTTAGGGAGCTTCCTGAAAGGTAGGTCTCAATTAAATCTGTGCTTTAGATCTATAAATGTCAATGAATAGAACTAAATTCTACAAGATGCCAAAACTACACAAGGAAAAAATATATTAAAAGAATGCTTCCTTGTTCTACACTCCTCTATTGTAATCTTACAGCCCTAAGACATGACACCTAACTTTGGTTGGTGAGCAACAGAAAGCTTCTGTCCTTTAAGAGTCTTTTTCATACTAATTATAGACCAGCACCACAAGAAGCTATATGTGAGGGAGAACATCTCAACACTATCAATGTACCTACTTGATTAGATGGCAACGAAGGGAAAAGGAGGTAAGACTTTTCTTACCAAGTGAAAACTACCTCAAGCATTCTCAAACTTGAATCCAAGACCCTAGGAGAACTTAATTGGCAAAAGACGTTAAATCATTTTGTATCTTGTGCCTGGCAACACATAAACGTTCAAGAAGCACTTGTTGAATATTCTCATTTCTTTTCCAAACTTCTACTAAAAACACAGAAACCAGAGTCATAGAGCACTATGAAGAAAGCCCTGCACAGCATCTATCACAGTATAATGTATTAGGTCTTCCTTCAATTCATTCTTATAGAAATCAAAATCAACTGCATTTAAAAATTAAAATGTAACAAAAACTACATATATAATATATATACACACACACACACACATATATATATATATACATATGTATATATGTATGTATATATATATGAATTAAATTGCTACAACCCATTTTATGATTGGATAAACCAATAAGGTCAAAACACACCCAAAGTCACGCCAGTGACAGAGCTAGGTACAGAATATTTACTGAGCCTAACGTGTGAAAAGCACTACTCATGGCTAGCACTTTTCAAATACCAGGTTGTGACTGAGTCATAAAAACCAATTTAACGGGTCATCCAGTGTTTTCTTTTTTAACAGAGCATCACATGTATAAGGGTAATTTCTGATTCCTGAAACTTCTGTTTTATACACACACACACAGAGTGCTTACTGTGTCACAATATAAAATGTATTTCTTACTGCAGATCATTGTCAAAGATGTCGCATGTATTTCAGAGCTTCCCATTACATATAAAAACCTCTGAAATGTTAATCATTACTAGCAGCTAATAAAATAGGCCTAAAATTTAGTTAAATTGCACTGACTTCAAAATTCCCTTGTAACACATTTCTATTTTCCAAAGAAAAATATTAATTGCTGCTAAACTCTTTTTCTACTTAACAGGCTGCAAAAAAATAATCTAGTATTAAAAATATTTGGAAATAGCTTATCATTTGAGGGAGAAATTTCCAGATGCCTCTGAAGAATATTTACTTAGAATGAATCACAATAGCTTGAAAGAACTATTTCTAAACGAACAAATTCATATTACAAAAATAACATCAATCGAGTAACACACCAACTTCCCTCCACCCCAGCTTCCCTCTGTATCTGATGCACCATCCAGAACATACCTGCTCTTTCTCTTTCAGGAGTTGCTCACAAGCAAGAGCCTTCTCCTTCATTGAATGGCACTCAAACTCTCTTTCACGCAGCATCATAGAAAACTTCATGTTAGTCTCTTGCAATGCCTGGTATTCTGTTTCCTTTTCCCTGCTTGTTTCTACTATTTTTTCATTTTCCTCTTTTAGTTCACGAATGTTCATTTCTAAAATTAACGCTCTCTCCTTCAGGTTTGTTACTGCCTGCCTCAAAAGTTCATTTTCATTCACCTTGTTAGTGAAATTTTCATTTAAAGACAGTAACTGATCACTTTTGGCTTTGATTAGGAGGTCTTTCTCCTTAAGTGACTTTTGTAAAACGTCTTGTTTCTCCTTGAGCTGCTTAATTTCTGAATCTGCTTGTTCGTGTTCTTTTCTTTCTAGCTCTGAGGTAGCAGCAACGGAATCAGACAATCGGTGATTATTTTCCTGCAGAGTTCTAATTGTTGCATCTTTTTCCTGCAGCGACTTTCTTAGCTCTTCTATCTCTTGTTGAGAAGACTCCCCCAATGCATCAGCCTTAACCGTTTCAAGAGACTCTGCTGGCTGGGAAGTAAGCAATGGCCCAGAAGAGAGCTGAGGGGAAATAATATCAAGTTTTCCTAAAAGAAGATCTTTGGTATTGCAAAGCTGCCCTATGCTGTGCTGAACTTGGGCTAATTCCTGCCCAAAATTTTTGAGTTTGGTTTCATTCTGCTCGTAACTTTGGATTAGACCAGTATAATCCACTTGTAATTTAGAATTATTGTCACTGTCAACCAAAACCTGTGCCTGAAGCTGCTGCAGTTCCTCCTGGAGCTGGGCGGATTCACGATGCATATTTTGTACAGTGGTCATCACCTGCTGCTTCCACTCTTCCATTTTCTTTACCTGTTGTTTTAATTTATTGCGTTCCTGCAAAAGCTCCTCAAACTGATTACTGTTAACACCTCCGGCCTCATCGCCAGTGCTGGATGTCTGTAAAACTGTCACTAACGTCTGACACTTCTGACTTAGTGCATCTATTTCAATGTCTTTTTCTCGAATGATGCGTGATAAATTCTGAACAGTTTCTCTAAACATATCTTGTCCACTACTTTCAAATCTAGTGGACAATTTATTATTTTCATCTTGCAGCTTAATGAGGGCTGCTTCTTTGGCAGCAACGATATCTATCATTTTGTGATATTCTGTTTTCAAGTGGCTATTTTCCCTCGTTTTCTCATTCAAAACAGCTAATACTTGTTCTCGCTCCATAGCATAGGCCTGCAGCTGCTGTTGGAGGTAAACGACATCCTGGGTATAGGAAGGTGAAGAAACTCGAGCAGTAAGAGCCTGTATCTCCAAATCTTTCTGCTGGATAATCTGAGTTAGTTTACCAACCTCATCTTTGGACAGCTGATCAATCTGTTTAGTTAAAGAGATATTCTTTTCATTTAGCAGCTTAATCTCCAATTCTCGTTCTTTTATTCCTTTTACTAATTTTTCAGTTTCAGCTTTGGATAAATCATGCTTCTCACTTCCATTTTCTATATTAAGGCTCTGAACTTTTGTTTCTTGAAAAATATCAGAATTCTCTGTTTGAACGTTCTGTCTTTCTTCGTGCCGCTGGGTTTTGATTTCTTCAATCGTTTTTTGCAAAGTCTTAATTTCCTCATCCTTCTCTAAAAGGAGCTGGGTGTGCATAACATTCATTTGCTCGTGCTGGCATTTAAACACATCCATTTCCTTCTTCTGCTCCTGTAAAGACTGAAGGAGTTGCATTTTACTCTGGTTTTGGTCTTCGATTATCTTTTGGTGATGCTTTATTTCCTCTTCCAGGCTATCCTTTATGACATTCAGCTGAGACACCTCCGATTCTAGTTCTGTAACACAATCAAGGGTTTTAGGCTCGGCCGCAAGTGCAGCCCGACTCTGCTGTTCCCTGAGTCGTTCCAGTTCTTCTTTGAGATGATTGTTTTCTTCTTTCATGAATCCAAGATTTCTTTCTTTTTCCTCTAGGGTTTGCTTCAAATTTTCATTTTTTCTTATGGCCTGAGTATGTTTATCTAATTCCTCCTGAAGCTCTGAGCTTCCCTCTTTAAGTTTTTCAATAAAAATTTCTTTCTCGTTTATAAGTTGTGTCAATTGCTTCCGCTCTTCTAAACTAGATGCCAATATTTTCTTAGTCTCTTTATGGTCCATATCCATGTGCTCAATATTCTTTTTGAGCTGTGCTATTTCAAAGTCTTTGTCTTGATTGAGCTGAATTAAACGCTCATGTTCGAGCTGTAAAGCAGAGGCACTCAAACTCCGTGCATTGGACAGTTCTTCAATGGTTTGCTTATACTTACTTGCTTCTTCCAACAGCCTCTTTTCAGCCCGACACAATTCTGCTTCCAACTGTCCTTTTTCCATTTTTAGAGCCTCCACAATAGTGTTTTTTTCCAGAGAAATTTTATCATTACCAGCAATAGATTCTTCCAACTGATGTCTTACATTTTCACATGCTAAAACCAACTTTTCATTTTCCATTTTGAGATCAAAAGCAGCTTTCTTTAAATTTTCATTGAGCTGTTCTATTTCTGCAAGATTTTGCTTTAAGTTTCTGATTTCAGCTTCCCTTTCTTTAATTAAGTCGTCCTTAAAATTACTGTTAGAGTCTTGATTAAGAGGCTGAGTTAACTTGTCCCTGATTCTAGAAAGCTCCTCCTCATTTTGTTTCAGATGTTCCTTAAGTTCAAAGTTCTCCTTCTGGATGTTTAAATTATTGTTTTGTGATTTATTCAGTTGATCTACTAAATCTTTTACTTCATCCTCTAGCTTCTGTTTGGTTAAATGCAAGTCACTGAGGACCAGTTCACTTTGAATTATCTTTTCTTTCTGCATGTCTAACTCTTTAGTAATGTTCATTTTATCATCTTCAAGTTGATGAACTCTCTTTTTTTCATCATTTAGATCTTTTTTGAGTTTACCGATGATACTATCCCCCTCATTTTGTTGTTTTGATAGCTGATCTTTTATCAAAATCATGTGCTGAAAGAAAAATTAATTTGCATGGTGACTTTAAAACATTCTTTCATTTTAGTATCTAAAGAAAATTTTATACAATGTCATACATAATAGAATAATAATCTTCAGGTATTTCTAATCCTTCTTAAAACTACTCTTTAAAAAAAAATCCCGGGCCGGCCGAGTGGCGTGATGGTTAAGAACTCGCTTGGGATGCCAGAGGGCCCCGGTT